TCGTGGCAGTTTGGCGACGGGTGGGGTCAAGGTTACCGAGGTGGGGTAATGACGTAACGGGGAGTGGAGGGAGAGAGGAATAAGTCGGGCGATCAGATGTATGCGTGTGTGAGTTTGGAGTGATAACACCGATGCGCGGTCAGTGACTTCTACAATCAGGGTTGTTACAGTTAATTAATTTTTTAATTTTTATCGTCAAAAAATGCTTAGATTCGTATTTTAAAATTATGCCATTTGATTCAAAGTCTGATATATATACACGCCTTTAAATGTTACAACATCTTTCTGTAACACCCTGTATATGTCCTTCTATGTTTTCATAATGTAAACAATAAAATCCTTCTCACCGTATCGATTTCATGTTCTAATGTACGTTGAATACGCTACCTCTCAAAAAAAAGATGCCAAGGAGTCTTTTTCCAATTTTCTTATAATTTATAGGTTAGTATCGATTTAATTTCATTGTGTTATGTAATATTGAGTGTAAAAATGACGATAGCATTTATCAAAATTTAAAACTATGTTTGTAGAGTTATCTATAGAGCCTCTTGGATCGTGTCGTGAACACACACCCCCCCTCCCCCCGCGCGATTGTCCATCTTTCGTTAGCAGGGTGTTGCGGAGTGTACGTCTTATCGTCGTCATGCACCAGCTACGTTGTTCTCCCGAGTCCGTGGGTCGTCTGCCCGCGGTCCTCTTTCGCCAAAGCTGTCAAAGCCGCCGGGCTAACAGCAAACTACACGTCACAAAAAATATCTATAGAGCCGTGATAGCGTTTGGTGTCCGGGCGCTTGCTTTTATTTCAACGTTCTCGAACGAACCGAGATCAAATCGCCGTGCTGGCACCTATAAAATTGAGACTTGCAATTTTAAGTCCTGATTTAACATGTGCTATGCGATGAAGGAAAACATGTTTCGAAAACTATGCAAAACCATGGAAAACGCAAGACGGACTAGGCCCTAATGCTGTGTAACCAACGAATAACATTTGTTTATTTATTTATTTATTTGGCACGGTTACAAAATACAAATTCTAACATGACTAAATTATTACAGACTAATAATAATAATAATAATAGGTCTTTATTGGTCTAAAATCACAAATAATGTAGGTACAAGTAATTTAAAATACAATTATATTAGTCAGATTTTAGACTAAAAGGTCTGGGGTTCAGGTTTGTTACACACATTGTGCACAACACTGATATTCTACCCCAGCCTGACATTACACAGACTGACAGAACACTTAAAATCTTAAGTATTGAAAACTAAAATATAATAGTAATGGGAAAAAAATAACAATATCTAAAAAAAACTTCACCATGAAATTAAAACATAATGATAAATGTAAACTGCCTTAAAATGTCTTATCATGTGGTACCAGAGAGCTGTTGTTGCATCAGAATCCATTTTTTATATTTTGTTTTAAAATGATGTACTGACCGCAGCCCGCGAATAGGTAATTCATCAATAAATCATTCCAGCATTTTGATGCAACAATTTTAAAGCAGCCTCGTGTTTGCACTAGATTATGTCTTGGAAGAATAAGAGATTTAGTACGCGCCCTCAGTCTATTATTAACATTGGATGCCCATTTAAATTTATTGTATAAATAGGGCGGTACTTTAAAGTTGAATAATGAGCACATGAAACAAGCCAGTTTTAAAGTTCTTGTAGACGACATGTTTAATATACCTTTCTCAGCCAGATACGGTGATATATGATGTCGCTTAGGTATAGAATAGCAATATCTTAAGCATGCATTTTGAACCCTTTGAATGGCCTTTGAAGTTTTTTGGAAAAGACACGGACCGTATACGATATCGCAATAATGTAAATGAGATAATACAAGCGTATTACATAACTGCAACCGTAACTTGTTGTCAATGAAATGTCTAAGGTTATAGATAGTTTTGAGAGCTGCAAAACATTTACTTATTTTTTGTTGGACATGTTCCTGGAAGCGTAGATTCTCATCAATTAAGAGGCCTAGGTTACGAACGCAGTTTTGACGAGGCACAGTAGAATTATCAATTTTAACGCGAGGCTGAAGAGATTTTATAAGATTCGTTTGATGTTTTGTTCCACAAATAATGTACGTGCTTTTTTTAGGATTCAAGAACTGTGTTGAACTGTGTTCTAAACTGTGTTGTTCGGACCATGCAACGATATTCTTGAGATCTTGATTGAGTTCCGCAACTGCCTTCGATACCCCATCAGCTGAGATTGGCACATGAACATAGAGTTGAGTGTCGTCTGCGTAGAGATGAAATCGAGAAAATAGTATTTTTTGGGCTATATCCGACGTATAGCAACGTATAGACGTCGACGACGTATAGACGCATTGCACAATTTGGTGTCGATTTAAAAAATATGATTTAAACCAGTTGCATGCCATCTCTGAAAACCCAAAATATTTTAATTTGTTTAAAAGCATCGGTATAGAGACACAGTCAAAAGCACGAGAGAAGTCTAATAAAATAAGTATAGTACCTTTACCTTCATCAGAAGCAGTTAGAATATCATCGACTATGTGTGCAAGTGCAGTAGTAGTACTATGTTTTTTGCGAAAACCCGATTGCAGAGTAGGAATAATATTATTGTATTCCAGATACGGCAGAATCTGAATCAAAACGCATTTTTCCACTACCTTAGACAGTGCAGGTAAGACGCTAATAGGTCTCAGGTCGTTTTCACTTTCTACTTTGGACTTTTTGGGTATAGGCGTTATTATTGCACATTTCCATTGCTCTGGGAATGTCCCTTCTAAAATTGATTTGTTAACAATAGATGAGATGGCATTCAGTGAATAAGGCAAGGTAAGGTTTAGCATCAACATTGAGATCCCGTCGCATCCCGTAGATTGATTAGGGGACGATTCGATAATGCGTGCGATAACTCACTGGGACGTTTCAGTAAAGGTAAAGACCGCGTCCGAATGCACGTTACCCCCATTATATTTAGTATCTTTCATAGACAAGCAAGTTGAAGAAGGTACACTCTTAATAAAATGTTCGCTTAATTTATCGGGATTGCTAAGATACTCAGGGATATTTCTACTCGCTACCGGTTTGATTAATTGGTTAATAGCTCGCCAAGAAGTAGAAGAAACATGTTTTTTATCGTTTTTTAATATATGATTGAAATAGGCGCGTTTTTCCTTTATAATCGCATTGTTTACGTAATTTCGTAGATCTCGATAATATTGGAAGCTTGATTTCGTTTTAATTTCTTTTGCGCGTTCACAGGCTCTATTGCGCAATGTGCGTAAACTTCTTATAGTGTCCGTCATCCACGGTTTTGGGGGTTCTACAAAAGCACGAATGCGCATAGGAGCAAAAGTATCCATTAAATCCAAAATAAGCAAATTGAACATTGTAACCATGTCATTGATACTGTCGTACTGATGAATCAATTCCCATGGGGTATACTGAGCAGCATTTTTTATAGCAAACGTATTATTGGCTAGACGCCTAAAAGAGATTACGTGGCGGAATCTTTCCTATCTCTAATTTAAATTCGATGACCACTAAGCCATGGTCACTAAGGTCATCATTATGAATAACTTTCAAAGACGTGGGTTTTATTTGTGGACTGATAAAAACCACGTCAAGGAGTGTTTCGCTAAACTCCGTGATTCTAGTAGGTATTCTATTTGTTTTAATTGATATGTCTCTTCCAATTCAAGGAAGCACCTCGGCGTGTACACCTCCTTATCTGAATTAAGACAATTGATGTTAAAATCGCCTAATAGAGTCAAATGATCGTATTTTGGCGCAAAAATAATTAATGCTTCATTTAAGGAGTCGTAAGCCGATGTCCATTTTTGTAAAGGTGGACGGTAAGCGATGCCAATGGCAGCTTTTATATTTTTAACTTTAATTTCCAGCCAAAAATGTTCAAGCGTACCTGTTGGATGATCCAGCTGCTTGATTTGAAGACCAGTCCGTACATAGGCTTCTACCCCACCACCGCGTGTCTTACGTGGTGTATGGATTAATTTATAGCCTGATATTGCGTAGTGCCGTATATCTGATTCAGGCGAGAGCCAGGTTTCATCAATGCATAAAACGTCAAAATCATTAGTTCTAACACATTCTATCAGCTCATCCCATCCTGTATTGATTGAGGCTATGTTTAATAGACCCACCGTCAAAAGTAATCACCGTAATATATATTACTAAACTTGCATTTCAATAACAACCGAGCACAACATGCAATTTTAATAATGTACGTAATAAATTATAGTTATAGTAATTAAATATAGTAAAAATAATGACAATTTTGATGAAATATATCTATGTCTCTACATAAAATATTATACTGTCTACACATTCGAATTAAGGGATTGTTATGAGATAGATTATTCCGGGTTAGCGGTATATGGAAAAGATGCTGTCTACGACTAGATTTAGGTGAACATCTCAATGAAACATGGCATAGGACGTCAGAATCAAGGGTGTGATTAACTATTTTATGCAATGTTAAGAGGTCGCTAAGTTGTCGTTGCATAAGAAGAGAATCCAGATTAAACCTTGCAAGTCTGTCATTGTATGTTAGCAGAACTTTTCCCAGACCTAGCTTATAACTGAGGCTACGAACAAACCATTTTTGTACTGACTCTAGTCTATTTATATGATTATTATGGCATGGTGACCATATGGTGCAACAATATTCAAGATTGCTTCTTACCAGACAATTGTAGAGGATAATTAAGCTTTTGATTTTTTTGAAAGGCTTAGTGATTCGATTTATGAAACCTATGTTTTTTCTGGCTTTTAAAATGATTGAGTCGTAATGGGTTCTGAAAGAACATATAGATCTTTAATGCATTTCGCATCGGACTTTGACTTTTCGTTTTCAAAAGAAAAGGTACTGTGATAGAGCCACGCATCATCTTCTGCTATTGCACAGATGAGCAGGCTCGACCGAGGAAATACCGCGGCTTCACAGATTACTAGCGCATAATACCCTCATTAATACATTTTATTTATTTTCAGGTCTTCCAAACAGAAAGCTGTATCCTACTGTATCTGCTGTTTATGGAAATACGGAGGTATCTATGGTCTATTTAGGACCCCCCGTCGATGGCTGATACCGTATCATTGAGACGTGAATGTTCGTGAACTATAATTCTAGTCAATAAAATGTGTGATATAATTTATGTTTAGTACCATGCTAGGTGTAAATATTTTCGGCGAGTTATCAAAATTAAAAAGAAATCATTAAACAAAATTTTGCTGAAGAATATCAAGAACCCTATACCAGTTTCTTCTATATATTTTAAGTATTGCTCTGTCGATCACGCACAGACAGTTATCCGTGGCCAAAGTAATCGAGATATCGAATGCTCGGCCTCGTGGTCCAGAGTCCACTCCGGTTCCATTGAAAAGGAATTCACGTTCTTTCAGATTCTGTATTTGGTAACATTTTTTTACGAATTGAGCCGTTGTTTACATGAGTATAGATGATGAGTAGTTCTCGCTCTGTTAGGTTTTGTTTACTTAGTAGGTTCGAATCTCGTAGCACCGAAAGTTTTTGTTACATATAAATAAAACTTAATAGCTTAAAATAAATAAACATAATATATAGTTTAGCGACAGACCTTTACCTTTTTATTACTCACACATGGCACGCTCTACAACTACAGTATACGTCAGAATCTCTTTATACTACTAAGTCTACACGAGATACCAACTTGTGGACAAGGGCGGATCCAGCTTTGGTGCCAGGGGGGGTCACGTAGTCGTGGTCAATTGATAAGAAGTTATAATTTAATTTTTATAATCATAGATACAAATAAAAAGTAGGTATTTTTAAACGACTTCAAAAAGAAGGAGCTTATCAATTCGGATGTTTACATTTTTTATGTATGTTCGGGCATAACTTCGTCATATATAGGCGGAATTGCAATATTATTTTTTTTGTTCGTAACAATTCGTTGCTTTTTATTGTCATAAATTATACAGGATGGCTTTTATAAAGGTGCCCAAATTCACACAGGAGGTTCAAACTCAGTAGTATAACCGTTTATTGAAATAAAAACAAACATTTTTTTTAATTAAAATTGGCATTCTATTCCCTAAAAAACAGAACTTGTTGACAATGCGGTAGTCATTCATAAATGCGTCGTATACTTTTGAAACGAACTTGTTTGCGTTTTAGTTATGAATGATCGCGCGTAAAATACAAGTTGCCCATTTCTGAGATAAGTTCAAATGAATGTAATTCATTAATTACGAGTGATTTTAAATATTTATCATTTTTTTTATAACTTTATTTAGTTCTAGAATTTAATAAAAAAAATGAATACACTTAGAAAAGCCTCCCTGTATAGTATTTTTTTTAAGTATGGTATTGGTAGGCTTACTTATTTTTGAAATTTCTTTTTATTTATTTCTTCGTAACCAGATTTTATTTTTTGTGTGGTTGTAATATTTTTCAATTCCTCTACTCCGCACGCTAACTCCACTTCAATGACAAGTAGCCTAAGACAGGACTATCGAGACACGGGTGAATGATAATATATAATCAACCCAAACGAAAACTCCTAAAATAGCCGTACACTAAAAATTTCATCGTCCACGTCAAAAAAATGCTCATAAATAACAAAAAAAATATTTATTCAGTCATTCATTCATTCGTTCATAATATTCAGCGTTCGTCCATCTAATCACAGAATCCACATTCATAACAAACGGAACGAACAAACTTTACTTCCCAAAGATGGGGTCGCATACCTACTGACGTCCACTAAACCACCACCTCTCACCACCCGTCAAAAACCGTCCACCCATTAAGACGAATCAAACTCGACGCAGTTGTGTTCCTTAATTACTGAGTTCCTATGGCCACATTCCAGCTCTGTCATCAGACCCTGGTTACCATCTAGCACTAAAGAACTCGTCATGACGAATCAAACGAGCCGAGACACAATAGGGTTGCGTCGTTTGTTTACTGAGTACATATGACTATGTTCCAGCTCTATTAACTGATCAGACCCTGGTAACATCTAAAAATTAAGTACTCGCCAAGACGAATCAAACAAGCCGAAACTCGATTTCATTACAGAGTGATCATAGGCCTCACAGAAGATCGGCGTAAAGTACTTCTGCGGTGAGTGAGGTAGCCAGAGCACACTTTATTGTAAGGAGAAAACGCATCTGCAACCCTATGCATATGTCCACGGACGGCTGAAGATGGAGATCCATCATAAGATCCTGGTTACTGGTTAATTAATTTATTTATTTGTTTATTCATTTATTTATCTAAGTGAAAGACAAACTACTCGTCAATACGATTCAAATGTACCCGAACGCGATGAGGCTCTGATTTTCTGGCGATTTACACATGTATACAAAGTTTCAGCTCAACCGGTAACCGGGAAGTAGATCAAATTTAATTTGCAAGATTTGATGAAAAACATAAAAATTTTGTAAAAATGTTCATAAAATGAAATCTACTTGGCCAAACTATGGTAAATTTTTATGGGGCAAAATGGCAACTATTCTACATCAAAATAAAGAAGAATCACGTAAATCGGATCATAAATTTCAACGTAATCGGTGTACATACATCGAAAAACAATATACCAATCGAATTGAGAAACTCCAACTTTTGAAGTCGGTTAAAAATATTCATTTAAATTAATATTAAAGGTACTTACATAAAATCTATATTGTGGCAAAAAATATATAAAAATATTATGTTTAACAATTTTAATTAGTGGTCAACCTAGGTCCTAGACCCAGCCCAGGGGGGGGTCATGACCCCCCCCCCCCCTGGATCCACCCTTTCTTGTGCATTGCCGCACTCGTAGCTCACTTCACAGGTGCGGTTAAGTTTGGTGCGGCTTACATCCTTACTATAGTTCTAATAAAGCTCTGTGTCACCTCTCAAACCCAATACACATACATTTATAATTACCGCGCAAATACATTTAAGCTTTAAAACCCCTGTACATTCTGCTTTTTTGTATTTACTTGACGCATTTGACGTGTGCTAATAAAATATAGAACCGCAGGTTCATACAACTGATTGTTAATAAATAACACCACAACTAACAACAACAGTAATCAGGCACATTTTGAAACTAATATGAACTTATTTGTTAGTTCTATACTAATTTGTACAATACCCTAGTTTCGTCGTTTCAAAAATATAGCGGCACAAGCACTGACATTGACCGCGAGACACCATCATAAATGCATAATTGTTAATTAAACCATTGTTAAAATTTTAATGCACCTTTTTAACTCCTGCCTTCGCTTTTAGATTTCTTGGGCCTAAATTCACAATGAATAAACTAAAAAAAAAACCCTACATAACCATCATCATAATCAGCTTTCCATACCTTTACACAATATTTTTCACCTTTACCTTTTCACTTTAGGATAACATTATCCTGTGTTGTAAGGACCACGACGTTGTCACGACCCAGAAGCCAATACCTTAGCAACACCGCCACGGAGTCTTCCGGACGGAGTTGCCAAGTTTTGATTACGGAAAATAAAATTAGTGGATAACAAAACAAAATCTATATCTTGTCTCCATTTAAAACTTCTTTCACAAGACGTTTTTGGTGTTTCTCATCAGGTTTTTATTATTAATTTATAAGCTAAAAAGATTATCATAAACTCGCTTCTTATTGTCTCGTACGATGACACAGAAAAACGTTATATACGCATAACTGACATATTGCATACATAATGATTTTCCTATATATTGGTTTATTTCTTATCTATATAATATTTATCAACGTCACACTTTTATTTATCGAATTTAGGGATGGGTAAGTAAAAAAAAATATATGGATAATTATCGTATCGACATTTTTGAAGTATCGATAATTATTGAGTGAAAAATTTCGAAATATCGTCAGTTTTCACATGATACTACAATTTGTTTACGTTTAATAATTTTTCAAAACGATAAATTAGAAAAAAATACTTAGTTGGTTAAATTTTCTTTTTTATTGCCTAGATCAAGCACTGTTGACCTTGGCCTTTATAGATCCAACGGGCTTGGGGTGACCGGCCGTTGAGGGCGCCAAGCCTGTACCTCGAGTATGAGTGAGTAAGCTCGAGGGAGCTTCGGCTCAAACCGTTACGCTATTACTATTTTCACCGGCTCGATCGGTAGCTGTAATCTGGCTAAGAAGATTTCTAGGGCTAGTACTACTCGCCGACGAATGCGGCAAACTTATACTAGATTACGCCATGTACCTGGTAGATTTTACCCCGTTAATGATAGAAGCGTTACAAGAGTTTCTTCCACCACTTCTCCCAGCGCCAACGCTTTCCGAAGTGGTAGTAAAAGCTTTAGAAACTCTCCCAGTCAGAATATAGCTACCGATCGAGCCGAAGTCCGGCCATCATGGGCACCCTCGGATCGGAATGCTAAACGGGTATTAAGTCGGGACCGATTATAACCTGTACTGCGAGGTGGTTTTATTATTATTATGCACTATTAATTAATTTAATCAATATTTGTTTTATATTTAAATTTATAAAGAACTCATAAATGCCTTAGATAACTTAATTTGCGTTTCGATTTTGTTTCCTTTTCTTTTTAGATTTCCACAAAACGTTAAACGAAGACTGAATAATACTGACAAAGAATAATGGATGAAAGCTGTTTAATTAGAGAGACACCAGAGTGATCGGATGCCTATATTCAAATATTTCAAAAATATGCTCAAAAGCGTATTAGATTGCTTTGATGGTGGTGCTTTATATTCATTTAAAAGCATGTTCTTCAAGTATGCCCATAAGTTTTCCATCGGATTGATATCCGGACTTTGAGATGGCCATGGCAGGACTTGAAACTTGCTTACTCAACCAGTTTTTTACTATTTTCGATGTGTGCTTCGAATCAATATCCTGCGGGAATATTACTCTTCATTAACAGGGCATGGCATATTTTCAACAATTTCCATCAGATGTGTCTGAAGAATGTTGCGGTACATTTTCCCGTCCATATTTCCTTCGATTTTGTAAATTGGTCCAACGCCATAAGCTGTGAGACAACCCCACAATTTAATATTGCCACCTGGTGGTATAAAATAATATAAGCGCTTCACTGTTTGTATAA